AACTTCCTGACAGTCATTTAATTGTTGTAAATATTATAATAAATTTGGATTTACAACTATATATACAGCTTTATAACTTCCTGACAGTCATTTAATTGTTGTAAATATTATAATAAATTTGGATTTACAACTATATATACAGCTTTATAACTTCCTGACAGTCATTTAATTGTTGTAAATATTATAATAAATTTGGATTTACAACTATATATACAGCTTTATAACTTCCTGACAGCCGTTTAATTGTTGTAAATATTATAATAAATTTGGATTTCCAACTATATATACAGCTTTATAACTTCCTGACAGCCGTTTAATTGTTGTAAATATTATAATAAATTAGAGAAACTTGGATTTGGAATTATATATAGAAGTAGTATATGCTTCAAAAAAAGACTCTTATGAATTCATAAAATAACATGACAGCTTCTGGATAAGTGATATTTGTGTTTACTATCAAATAAAGAAATGTAGTGTCACTGCTGTGTTGCACTTTAAATATGTTCAACCACAATTTTGTTTTTTTCACAGTTCTTTATTTGCTATAACTCCCAGTTTTCTGAAGATAAAAATGAAGTATCTTATAATTAGGACAATGTTGTGATGATGAATGTAAAAACAAATTTGAAATTACACTATAGAACTTAAAAAATAAGCTTAGAAACTGATATCTAGTAAGTTTTTGTCATTCACATTTAATATTAAGGGAATAATATTAAATATTACATCCATAAATCAATTTTAGAAAAATTACACAGAAAGAACAACTCATGAATAATTGAAGTAAATAAAAACCTTTGGGCTTAAGGTGAAAAAAAAATAAAAGTCCATTTTACAACATAACTTTACAATGGTCATAAATGATTTTTGAGGTTTAAAAATTGATCCCTACATGTATTAACATCTTCCTATTATTCTATATAAATCATTAAGTTGACTTAGATTTTCCTGTATCTTGTTCTCCAAAGCAAAAGAAACTCTTAAAGCTATAATAACACATCCTTCCTGAAAGTATTACATAACAACCAAAGAAAATTTACAATCATGTAAGATGCATACGAACACATCTCTTTCACAATTCCACTAAACTTTTAGCACTGTTGGGATGGATGCGTAAGTGGCTGAATACATTTCCCTGTGTTATGAAGGACAAGCCACAAATTGGACAAAGGTACGAACACTCTCCACTGTGAAATCTCTTGTGGTTTTTTAAGCTTGATTCTCGAAAAAATGTATGGGAACACTCATCACAATGAATAATTCTGTTAGAGATGTGTTTCTCATTAATGTGTTGGTTTAACTTCTCTCTGTCATCGTGACGAAATTTGCAATACATACAATGAAAAATCTTCGGATGCGGGCTGGGCAAGTGTTTCGTCTGAGGCTTCTGTTCAGACATGGTCTTTAACTCAAAAATATAAGGCATCTTCCTTGGCGCTGCCTGAATTTTTGACTTTCCATGGATTTCTTTAGTTTTATTAGCTGCAACCTTCTTGCATACACACCCTGCATCACAAGCTTGGCAATTCTTACGTTCAGGATTTATGTGCTCCGATCTGATGTGCCTCGCCTTCAAACGACTGCTTACAAAAGTTTTTGAGCAGATTTCACATACTTTTATAAATTTCTCAGTACTGGTATGTTCTAGACAATGTGTATTCCAGCTGTCTTTGTCTTTAAATTCTAAACTACATGTTTCACACTTGTAGAAGTCCACCTCACTTGACTGAAACTTTTTACTTTGGTACAACTGAGATTGGAGAATTTTCTGTTTGCACACTTGACATAATTCCCTAAAAGGGTTTCCCCCCTCCATAAGAACAACAGGTTTTGCACACATCTTGCAGTGACTTAAAGAACCTATGCAAGAAGACCATGACCCACCACTCTTATCGGCTTTGGTACCGAGAGTATGGTGAACAACTTCAAAGTTTTCATGTGCAGTCAGTTCCATTTCATGAAGTGCTGTGTGTTTTTCCATTGATCTGTGTTCTTTAAACTGCTGACCACAGGTTGGACACGAGTAAGGCCTAGCAATTCCATGGTCTCGCAACATGTGCTGGTCAAATTTTTGTCTAAAGCGAATAACCTTCCCACATTCCTCGCAAGTGTATGGACCCTTTTTGTTGATTCGAGAAGTTTTTCTGTACTTTCTTTTATAGTCAGAGTATCCTCTTGTGAAGTGAAAAGAATACGTTGAATCATTATCATCTAGCACTGGTAAAAATTTGTCAAAGTCTTCCTGATCATTGTATTGTACTTCAACTAATTCAAGGGGAGTTTTATACTTTTCATCATCATTATCAGAACCATTTTCTCCCATTTCAAACTCTTCCATTGTGCCTTAGTTTTAACTCCAGTGTCAAAACCTTCCAAGTAACTAATCTACTTTCTGGCTCAGCCAGAGGACTAAGCTGTTACATCTTGAACATTTCAATAATATTTTTTAATTATTTTACAGACCTTACATTTTTTATATTAGATTCAATAATACCATTAAAAGGCAAAACAGTATAGTAGATGCTAAACAAACTCCACATGTAATTTACCTGGGCTATTGAAATCGCAACAAATATTCCTTCAGAGAACTTTAATGCATTTTTTACTAAATATTTCTAACTTTCAGCAATTGGTGTAGGCTTTGACTACAACATTAACTGCTGCTCATACAATACTTATAAAAATATGGGCTGAGTTACTTGTAAGTAAGATTACCAGCTTTACGACACAGGGTATCTGTAGTGCATCTTCTCTCTGCCAGATGCCAGGTTGATAATTTCAGCACCAGAATAAAATGTTTTTGCATATAATCTCACCAAAAATATTTATATTTTAGTCTTCACACTTCCTTCAGCAACAACTTCAAGTATGATCTACAAAATAAAGACATAAATTACAATACTTTCCATTTGTCGATTAAGAGAAAATATCAAGATTCTTCAAAACACTAATTTTTTTCACGAGTTTCAAATTAGCAGGCCTATTTTTATAAAATCATGAGTGTAGAGTCTTGTCAAAGATTTGTTTATTAAATTAACTTAACATTTTTTATACAGATACCTTTATCAGTAAATATATTCCCAATATTCATCATTTACACCTCATTATAAGACATTGGATTTAAAGAAATTTTTAGTTGTAAATAAGAAATGCTGCGTGATTAATAAAATACAATCAAATTATTTGAGGTAGAAGCAATAGCACGTAAGTTAATCTCTAAACTCTATTAACAATGGTTTTATATCAAGTTAATCTACCAGCTCTATTAATGATGAGGGTATTATATCAAGTTAATCTACCAGCTCTATTAATGATGAGGGTATTACATCAAGTTAATCTCCAGCTCTATTAATGATGAGGGTATTACATCAAGTTAATCTCCAGCTCTATTAATGATGAGGGTATTACATCAAGTTAATCTCCAGCTCTATTAATGATGAGGGTATTACATCAAGTTAATCTCCAGCTCTATTAATGATGAGGGTATTACATCAAGTTAATCTCCACAACTCTATTAATGATGAGGGTATTATATCAAGTTAATCTCCCAACTCTATTAATGATGAGGGTATTACATCAAGTTAATCTCCTGACTCTATTAATGATGAGAGTATTATATCAAGTTAATCTCCCAACTCTATTAATGATGAGGGTATCATATCAAGTTAATCTACTGCTCTATTAATGCTGAGAGTATTATAAGGAAACAGAGATAATAAAAGTGTTTCAATTACCAGAGGTTATAACCAATGTCCCCTTTAATTTTTTCAATGTTCAGAATGAATGTGCAGTTTTGTTTTAGAGGTGGGGGGATATTTTTAGACCATTGAATCTGTTGGATCATTAGGCCACTTTGCAATGCTACCAACTGGTTATTTGGGCTTTAGGCCTATCAACTGCCAGGGTCAGTCAGGCCGTCAACATGTTGAGACTCCTCACCATTACTGAGGATGTGTGCGGTCGGAATAATGAAGTGCGAAGCACTCGATTGGTTGTTGTGTGGCCACGCAGCTTAGAGGGAACACTGGTTATAATACCTTTACTTTTAGACTGGTACAGCCATGCATTTTAATAAAAATTATTTGTTTTAATATATGTGTGATCTGAAAATTTCAAAACACTTTATTTTATTTAATAAAAAAAATTAAAATAATAATTGAAATGCTACTGAATGTAAATATTCAACCAGCAGCATTCTGAACTGCAAATGTCAGGACTAAGCCTTACTTATTTCGTTTGGAAATTAAAACATACTTTAAATAGAAAGATTTGATATGGGAGTATTTTTATGAAAATCTCTTGGTGCTATTCAATTTCAAATGTGAGAGAAATGTAAGAGTGCCTTTTAATTCAGAAAAAGTAGCAAACAGTAGAAAAGGGAGCTTGGTCTCCACTCGTAAGATTACAGTCAACAAAATAGTTGAACAGCACTGTGACTCTGAGTGCAAGTGTTACTAAATTCAACCTAATTAAGTATATAACAACCTTAACTTGTAGTTCTTAAACAAAATATTATCAAGGCTGCCAAACTTAGGCCTGTATAATTATTTTATAATTATGTGCAATTGCTTGTTATATTCTTTCAACTATTCTCACCGATCCTAAATCACGTATAATAATTAATATATATATATATATATATATATATATATTATTATACAATTTACTGAAATTCTGAAGAAATTAATTCCAATATTAATACTGATAGTACTACCAAAATTACATATATAACATGAATAGGCAAACTCATATTTCTTTTATATATTCAATGATTAAAAAAGTGATAGAAAACTAGTCATAACATAAAATTTATAAAGCTAGTAAGTTACTATTATTATATAGAATTAGTATTACTAAGCTCCTACCGCGCCTAAAACATTGCGTTGAGGCTTCAGCTCAATCTCGAGCCTTCAAGTTCAACCCCAAGTTAACCGTTCGTTACATTTATAGTATATATATAATATGGTTTGTTTCACATTTACTGAACTTTACTTATTCTCCGATATTACATAGTCACAAAACATATTACACGTTTATATTTTGAGTTGAAAATTACAATAGATAACAATCTACTTTCAGTTTAAAACTAAGATTACCCTTACAATACAAGGTAATTTAATAACTGAATTATAAGCATATGCTCTAGCCCATTTCTTTTATCTTAGGCCTAAACTTACGCCCCCTGTTGTTAAAAAATAGAGATGTTTTTTAATTAACTAAATAACCCAAATCGCTGAGTTTAGATATGATGTATAAGAGAGTGACGATTCGAATCAACCTTCAGCAGTAGTTATAGGGCTTAAAATATAACTGGTTTTCTTTCTCGTTATGCTCTTGGTGTTTTCAAGTTCGGACAGATTTATGTAAGCTAAAAGACACACGCTACCGAAACAAATAATTGACAAACTTAAAGAGAAGAACTACTTAAAGAAAGGACTATCGATGAACAGGCAGAAGATAGCGCCACTTTCACAGCCTTAGTTTGTTTGTTGTTAATTGCAATGCTACACAATGGGCTATTTGTGCTTAGCCCACCATTAGTATCGAAATCCGGTTTTTATTGTTATAAGCCTACAAATTTACCACTGAGCCGCTAGGGAACTTTACAGCCTTGTTAGTCTGTTCATTTCTAGTGATACAAATATGACCAAGTGTCGAGACACAAATAATTATTTCACCAGTGAAGGTAAAACTGTTGCAGAAAACCAGAATGATTACAACACCAATGCGAATCTAACGAGATGTGACGAGCAAATGAGGCAGTAGTATTAACTAACCAAGACAATGGCAAAAGAATGCTCATAAACTCAGAAACAAAACTACCAGTGTCACCCAGAAGGCTATAAGAGATACGCAAATTTTGAATAAAATAAGATCAAAAGGTTTACTCACTTGAAAGGTTTGGTTTTTCACGCAAAGGTACACGAGGACTATCTGCGCTAGCCGTCCCTAATTTAGCAGTGAAAGACTAGAGGGAAGGCAGGTACTCATCATAACCCACCGCCAACTCTTTGGATACTTTTTAACAACGAATAGTGGGATTAACCGTAATCTTATAACACTCCCAACGCTGAAAGAGATGAGGATTCGAACCCAAGACCTGCAGATTGCAAGTCGAGCGCCCTAATCACCTGGCCATATCAGGCCCACTTGAAAGGAAGTTGTTTTCTTAGTACAAAGGTACACAATGGACTACTTGCATTCTGTCAACCACGGGGAATCGAATTCCGGACTTTAATGTTGTATGTCTGTAAACTTAGCCAGTGACCCACTGTGGAAGTACAGGAAAGGCAATAAAAACTATCAACAAATACTCAAATTCCGAGATATTATCAGTGAGACAATTCTGTAGAATTCTTTCTATAAAATTTTGTAAGATTGAGGCCGTCAAAAATATCGCAAAGAGTTTGTTTGTTTGAAGTTAAGCACAAAGGTACACAATGGCATATAAGTGCTCTGCCCACCACGGGTATCGAAAACCGATTTTTAGCATTGTAAGTTCGTAGACATGCCGCTGTGCCACTGGAGGGCATCACGAAGAGACTAAGTAGGATAAACTAAATGCATATGATCCGAGATCCTAAGGGAAGACTATTGTGAAAGGCTTGGAAAGGATAACAAGAATCAATAAACTGTAGAGACATGAGGCGTGGAGTAGCATATCTCCTATAGCGATTAGGGAATATCAGGGGATAAAAATAAAAGAGAGAAAAAATAGAGAGATCCCAGAACGCTGGACAGATTTAACACTATACCAGCTAAGCAAGTATTGTCATCATAAGACCACGGAGAATTCCGAAGCTAAAAATTTATAAAGCAGATTAAGGAATACAACCCATGACTCCAAACAAGGTCTTATTTTGAATATCATTGTATCTCGAAAGCATAATGAAGGAGTTGAATCATAAAAAGCATGCCCATACTCCAAATTAGAACAAATCAAAGAACGAAAATAGTGTTGCGTCACGGAGACACGTGACTATTCTCACGGCCTCTAGTTTCTAGAACTATCCCGTATCTTGGCGAATGCTCTAGTATTTACTAGATAGGGTAGGCTGGTATATAAAAGAGGGGAATGTAACGTGTGTGTGAGGACAGTGAGTAATTGATCTACAGTCAGAAGTATTATTGAGCACGTTCGTTGTTATAGCGTTTGTTTAGCGCGATTGTTGAAGTTGAGTGTATCGGTAAAGTTATATTCGGAAAGAATAAACCAGTTTTATTAGGTAAAGACTTGTGTCGTTAAAATTTCGTCGGAACGAAGTTACGGAAAAATCAATTAACAAACGGAGACGTAACAATAGTATGAAAATTACAAGCCGAGGCACTCGATACAGCTCTAAGAAAACATTTGTTTCAGACAATCAGCAATTAATAACAAAGTATATACTTATCAGGGCGAATTAATTGTTTAGATAAAGCACTGAAAAGATTAAACTGAAATACGTCGTCCTTTATCAACCGAACACTTTAGACGTACACGTGTATTATAACAAAATTTTGTGAGGGCGTTGAAGAGCTTATAACTGAAATTGTAAGTTGCCGGGAGGTTTATTTTTATTTACATTGTTTTTTCTTAATTTTATCATTGTATTCAACATAAACGAACGTCCAATTAAAAAAAGTTTCTGAAAGTGATATGTTTTTCTTTGAGTGTGTGTAAATTTAGATTAATTATTTGTAGCAGAGAAGAGACGCCTAACCATTATTCAGTACTGAATTACTATAAAACTAAAAGTATAATTTTACTTATTACTACTACTAGTACTAGGCTTAACTGTACGTACTACTAATAGTATGAAAGAGCAAACTTAAATACTATTCTTTCAAGTTTAACGTTGGCGTAATATATACGCCAATGGATCTGGGAATCTGTGAACAGAACTTGAAAGTTGAATAGTAATACTAATTGTAGTTTAAAAAAGTAAGCTTTTGAATTTGATAAGGTTTAGCAGAGTACAATAGTAGTATTACTGATTGTGATACAGTAAGTTAGTTTCTTATGGAGTTGGGTTGTGATAAGTGGATACTATTCTGATTACAAAAATTTGACTTTTGGTGTTCGTCACGAAACTTGCTAATATATTGTAACGTTCTATTGCTGGGTGGGTTATTTTAGATTACATGGTAAATAATGCATAGTTTAGTCCACATAACGACAACAAAATTATTTTATGCCTTTTCTACAGGCTATTTTAATTTTGACACAAGTTGTAGGCCTAAGTTCACAAATAATGTATGTACATAAATTAATTGCCAATGATACTATGTAAACTTAATAAAACTTCTACAATTCCATGGATAATTGATCAAGTAACCAGGTATTCATAATAACTCTGAATTGAATCTTGTACTGAATATTTTACTGAATTAACATTAACTACTCATTCAGTACTTCAGTGAACTATGTGCTCCTTCATTACTTGTATTTATAATTTATTCTAGTCTCTTGATACTCCCCAAAACTACTAGATCCCTGATGATGTCATTGCAATGACAAGTTCCTTCTAGCAAACAATTGAACTATAACATTGAAAATACAAAATTATGTCTGTGGCATTTTCGACATTAATAGAGGAAAAGGGATGGGATTTTGGAAAGACTTAAATTTTTGTGTTGGAGAAAATTGAGAAATATATAATGTTTTGGAAAGCGAGACATATTTGACTGATAAAAGCCTCAACTTACTCAAACCTTGGCTGAATGCTTGAAAATGATAAAATAAAAAAGCTTTATTTAGAGTAAGGCCTAGCACTCATTTCACAATCTGCTGGTCACAGGAGTGCAACCCAACACTGAACGTACTTGTAGTTTCAGCTGTGGGGGTGTTATAATGTGACAATCAGTCACACTATTCATTGGTAAAGAGTTGGTGGCAGGTTGTGTTGATTAGCTGCCTTCTCTCAAGTCTATCATATTGAAATTAGGAAAGGCTAGTGCAGTTAGTCATTGATTAGCTTTATGTGAAATTTGTGAAACAAACATTTAGTGTTTCCACTTTTACTACAATATATATATTGATTTACTTGGAGAGGTTCAGAGATTGGTTACTTAAGTTATGCCTGATTTGAATAATTTAAACTACAAAGAGGAACTCAAAGATTTTAATTTATTTTCTCTGGACAGTAGAAGAGCTAGAGATGACTCGGTTAATTTGTTTAAAATTGTGAGGTGTTTCGATAAACTGCTCACGAGAGGTTTGCTGGAGTGGATAAGGTTGGAATGAAATCCTGTATTTTGGAAGTAATAAGTATTTAGTATTAAAAGATGAGGTATCTTACTCTCCCATGATGTATATATATAGTTAGTTGTTGTAGTTTGACCAGTCAGGGAACTTGTCTCCTGTTTCTTGGAATAGTTCATTGTGTCTTGCTTGATCCTATGTTTGGGGAATCCTTGAAACTGTTAGATGAAACAGAGATACTTTCACTTTCTAGTGCGTGTTTTACAGTTGGTCAGTTGAAGTGGAAATGTGTTTCATAGTTAAATTTTGGAGAGAGTCGTTCCAACTTTTGGAGAAGGCAGTTTGTCTTTGATCTGAGATAGCCAAGAATCATTGGTAGGAGTCCTATCCTTACCATCACATTTGTACTTACTACATTTATTTATAACATTGGTAGGAGTCCTATCCTTACCATCACATTTGTACTTACTACATTGATTTATAACATTGGTAGGAGTCCTATCCTTACCATCACATTTGTACTTACTACATTGATTTATAACATTGGTAGGAGTCCTATCCTTACCATCACATTTGTACTTACTACATTGATTTATAACATTGGTAAGAGTCCTATCCTTACCATGACACTTGTACTTACTACATTGATTTATAACATTGGTAGGAGTTCTGTCCTTACCATGACACTTGTACTTACTACATTGATTTATAACATTGGTAGGAGTCCTATCCTTACCATGACACTTGTACTTACTACATTGATTTATAACATTGGTAGGAGTTCTATCCTTACCATGACACTTGTACTTACTACATTGATTTATAACATTGGTAGAAGTTCTGTCCTTACCATGACACTTGTACTTACTACATTTATTTATAACATTGGTAGGAGTTCTGTCCTTACCATGACACTTGTACTTACTACATTGATTTATAACATTGGTAGGAGTTCTGTCCTTACCATGACACTTGTACTTACTACATTGATTTATAACATTGTTAGGAGTTCTGTGATGAGTAATGTTGGGTTAACTTGTGTATGTGATGAGTTATGTTGACTTAACTTGTGTATGTGATGAGTTATGTTGACTTAACTTGTGGATGTGATGAGTTATGTTGACTTAACTTGTGTATGTGATGAGTTATGTTGACTTATGTATGTGATGAGTTATGTTGGGTTAACTTGTGGATGTAATGAGTTATGTTGACTTAACTTGTGTATGTGATGAGTTATGTTGACTTAACTTGTGTATGTGATGAGTTATGTTGACGTTAACTTGTGGATGTGATGAGTTATGTTAGGTTAACTTGTGGATGTAATGAGTTATGTTGACTTAACTTGTGGATGTGATGAGTTATGTTGACTTAACTTGTGTATGTGATGAGTTATGTTGGGTTAACTTGTGGATGTGATGAGTTATGTTGACTTAACTTGTGGATGTGATGAGTTATGTTGACTTAACTTGTGGATGTGATGAGTTATGCTGGATTAACTTGTGGATGTGATGAGTTATGTTGGGTTGTTCATTATTTGATACACAGGTAAATTTCTATCACCTGGTATTTTCAATTCCGTGGATAATCTTGTAAACTTTAGTAAGATTACATCTTACTCATCTTTTCTCAAGAAAAAATAAGAGATTTTGAGCTAACTGTCAGATGACTCGTATCTGATTTCATTCCTCCTCTGAACCCTTTCCTGTAATTCATTATCCTTTCTTAGAAATACATTCTAAAATTCTATTAATTTTACTACTAGCAACAGAGCACTGTGTTGATGGCTATACACCATCCTTTTTTCAGTCATGCTGTAGAGTGGGTTCTTGTCAATGCTAAACATGTGATCCGGATATTTATAATCTAAATGGAATACCTTGGATTTCCATAATTAAACTCATTTGCCAAATATTTGTCCAACTTGCCACTTGATCCAAATCATTCTGTAATACCTCAATACAACTAGAATAACCAAAAATTTTATGTCATTAGGAATCTTTATTAATTTAATAAGTATCAATAATGTTATTGTAGATAAGAAAAAGCAGACTCAAGCAGTTACCCATGAGGCATTTCTCTAGTAACCAGGGTCTAGTTTGACTCGACTCCATTTTAACTTTCTTCCTTCTAAAAGTCTTATAATTCATTATTTTATTTTTAGTATAGAAAATCTTACAATTCAATTCACTAGTCTTTCTCCCAACCTCCTACTAAAGTGATTTTCTAAATTAATCTTTTGGGAGATAATTTATCAAAATCTTTTCACAAATTTAACTACTCTAAGTCCACACTATTTCGATCAGCTAGATAAGTTGATTTACCAATTGATTTACCAAAAATAAAAGAGAAAGACATATTTGAACTTTGACCTCCTTTAAATTCAATGGAAAACCTTTTTGTGTTTTGGTGCTTTGATTTTAATCTTTCATTCTTTGTACTTACCAACAAGGGATTAATATCTATGTGATTCTGGTCAGGAATATTGCTGACATCTCTGGTAAGAAACAGAAGAGAACATTTAAAATGTCAGCCATTTCATCATTATCAACAACAATCTTGCCATCAGAATCCTTTTCAAGATCCATGGAGTATTTAGTTTATAAAGGTCACGTGGGAGTTTTGTGGGAGTGTAACCTTGTTTAGATCATGTGAAGGTGGGAGTTTTGTGGGAGTGTAACCTCGTTTAGATCATGTGAAGGTGGGAGTTTTGTGGGAGTGTAACCTCGTTTAGATCATGTGAAGGTGGGAGTTTTGTGGGAGTGTAACCTCGTTTAGATCATGTGAAGGTGAAGTATCTATTTATGAGTGTTACCTGTTTTTGTGACAAGTGTTTTTTTTTTTTAGGTCAGAAACAGAGTGCTTGCAGACTATTCAACAAATTTTCACAGTTTCGGTACCTGATAGAAAGTATAAGGAGGGTAAGCTCTCATTTTGTTTTTACAATTACTTCATATTCACATTGTTATTAATATAAGATTATTTGTATTTTTTTCACAATTATTTTTATAATAAAGCACTAAAACTGCTTCCTAATTATATACAGCTTCTGTTAACATTACCCATAATTCCATGGGAGAAAGTTTAAATGAAAATTTGAAGTATTGAATGCATGAACAGTGGAAACATTTTTTTAACTGTATAAAGAGGTCTTCAATATATCATGCTATTAAAATTTTAAGGTAAAAAATAACCTCGAAGTCCAGTTTCCAGGTCTCTGTTGGTGTCTAGAAGTTTTACTCCTGAGTCCAGTTTCCAGGTGTCTAGAAGTTTTACTCCTGAGTCCAGTTTCCAGATCTCTGTTGATGTCTAGAAGTTTTACTCCTGAGTCCAGTTTCCAGGTCTCTGTTGGTGTCTAGAAGTTTTACTC